ATGATGATGATAATGATGATGAATGATGATGAATGATGATGATATTGATGATAACAATAATATTGATGATGATGATGATGATGATGATGATGATGATGATGATGATGATGATGAATAATGATGATGATGAATGATATAATAATAATATGATGATGATGATGATGATGATGATGATGATGATATCGATCATCATCATATCATCATAATTTCCTCCATCCTCAATCCATATCTTAAAAAAGTAAAAAATCATATAATTGATTTCCCTGCCCCCTCTCCATGATGAACACGTCCCTTCACCATTATAAGAGCCAATACTCATAAACTAATCTCTTGACCAGGATTATAAGTTGCAAAGTTTGAGCGGTAATATTTAGATGCAGGATTGCTTAACGATACCAAGTAACTTTCACTGAAAATAATATAAAACATATCTATTTTATTTACATTTTATGTCTCCCCTCAAGATACAGTTCTTCATCAGCTGTAAACTGCACTTTCAAGCATTGGATATTTTTTTATGGTCTACTGTTTAGCCACTGGGTAAGCAGGTTATCTAGTATTGATATTCTGATGAATTTAAAATTTCATTATGACCCTTTTGCAGCAAACTGAAAATTACTAAAATGTTTAATGAAGATACACAATGTTCCCTGGACCTCCTGTGACCTTCATCTTTTACTAATAAACAACTGAAAGTTTTCCTTTTTGCCCAAATGATCTATTTGGTTAAGAGCCTGCTTGTTCAATTCACTTATATAAATATGACCCTTAAATTAATTGGCCCTTCATAAGCATGGGCAGTTATATGTGTTCATTAAATATTCTGCTAGTCTAAACTTTCATTTATATCCTAATCATCAATATGTTCAAGCTAATGCACTCTACATCATCGATGCAATGAATAAATGTGAACACATCAGTCCTTAAATAGCAGATGAAAGTTTAAACTATCAAAACTTTTGATAAAACGCCTGTATGGGAAACCGGTTAAAGAACACACCTTCAGAAGCACATACTCATAATTAGAAAGGATAACAGCCATAATAAGAAATTTTAAATAACTCAAAATGTTTCAAACGCTTCACAAATTCCTCTTCAAATGAATAATTAACAGAAATGGTCACATGTATCTATTTGAGTCAACTGTTCGCCTGAAGAGGAACTAGTGAAGAGTTCAAAACATTGCGATTTATTTTAATTTCTTGCAGTTATTTTCATTTTCATTTTTGTATACACGCTACTGTGTTTATGCTTGGGTTCAAACCCTTAATTGTTTGAGGCAGTTGAAAGCCAGTTGTACAGACATGCTTATATGCTGTGTTGGCTGCACTACAGTATATACATTGGCAATGCACCATAGGTACTCATAAAAAAATTAACCCAATCAAAGCTCCACCCAACAAGATTATATGTTAAAGATGTTTATATCTAAGGTATGGCTGTAGGCTAGAACAAATTGGAAATTATATTCTTGCAGAGGACAAAAAGGTTGTAGTCACTGTTTGAGAAAGCTACCTTGTTAGCAGATTGTTTTATTTCAAAACAAAGTTTAGAAGATATTGAACTTCCTTCATGTCACCCATTGCCATGCTTTAATTCATTTGCTTTCAGGTCCTCTGAAATCAAGTATCTGTTATCTGAACTAGATGAATATGGTGGAGTAGACCCTAATGGCTTGTTTCCTTTGATTTTAAAAAGACTAAATGGCCAATTAGCTCCTAAATTAGCCGTAATCTTACGCATTTTTTATTTTCGTAAAGGGTCATTTCCAGATTGCTGGCGCTTTGGTAATGTTACCCCTATTCCCAAGGGCCCACTACAGTCTTCACCTACTGAATATAGGCCCATTTCAATTACACCAATTTTATCCAAGGTTTTTGAACGTTTGCTGATCAAACGTCTTTTTGTACATTTGAGACCGTTTCTTCCAGAGACTCAGTTTGGTTTTAGAAAGGGACTCGGCTGCAATGATGCACTGCTTATGTTGGTGCATGAAATGCAGTCTGCTTTAGATAAGGGTCATGAGTCAAGACTTGTCTCGCTGGATTTTAGTGCAACTTTTGACACTGTTAATCACAAGGGTTTAATTTTTAAGTTACAGTCTTTTGGTGTAGGTGGTAAAGTTTTCAGTATTTTAACTGAATTTTTAACTGGTAGCCAGCAGCGTGTTCATGTTGATGGTAGTTTTAGCTCGTATTCTCATGTATCTTCTGGGGTTCCTCAGGGTAGTGTTCTTGGCTCTTTGCTCTTTATCTTGTATACAAGCGAAATGTGGTCTGGCATTACTAATAAAATGTTAGCATATGCTGATGATACTTCTCTCTATGCTGATATTCCTTCTCCGGCAACTAGGCAAATAGTAGCTGACAGTCTTACTGTAGACCTGATGATGATTCAATCGTGGTGCTCTCAGTGGGGCATGAAATCAAATCCTACTAAGTCTAAAGAAATGACTGAGTAGGTCTCGAACGCAGTTGCCTCAGCATCCAAGTCTGCTGATTAATGGAGTCTTAATCACTTCAATGGATAACTTGAAGCTCTTAGGTGTAACCTTTGATTCAAAGCTTACATTTGAATTGCATATTAGGAATATGGCCCGGGCAATTTCATCAAAGTTAGGCATCATTCGCAAATGCAAGAAAATCTATGAAGATGACAACATTACACGTAGGTGCTTCTTTTCTTTTATTCTGCCTCATTTTGAGTATTGTTCTCCTGTGTGGTTATCTGCTGCAGACTCACACTTAAGACTGCTTGATCGTTCTTTTAATTCTATTAAATTTCTCCTGTCTGACTTAAATTTGGACATTGGACATCGTAGAGTTATTGGGGCTCTTTCAGTTTTATACAAGATTGTAACGGATAATTCACATCCCCTCTATAAGTTTTTACCTGATTTTTATCAACCTGCAAGAATTACCAGAAGTTCTATGACTCTCAATTCAATGACATTTGATGTAAGTCGATCACCTACAAGTCAGTTTTCTAGATGCTTTTTTACTGCTATTTGTAGACTTTGGAATAGATTGCCTTCAGAGATTGTAACTTCTTCGACTCTTGATAAATTTAAAACGTCAGCTAACATGTCTTTCTTACATAATTAGCTGACTTTCTTTTATTCATTCTTTCTTAGCTGTATCTTGACCTGCACTGATACCTTTGGTGGTATAAATCTCGATTTTTTCAGTGTGGCTCATTATATAGCTTAATATAATAATAATAATAATAATAATAATAATAATAATAATAATAATAATAATAATAATAATAATAATAATAATAATAATAATAATAATAATAATAATAATAATAATAGTACAAATAAATAATCTGCAGACTTGAAAAGTAAAACCACAAATAAAGGAAAAAGATCATGGAAAGCACCTCTCATAGCCTAAGACCACTCATTGATTTCTGCTCTTTCATGTCGTGGCTACCAAGGTGAACACAATGTTTATCGGGGTGCTCCCCATCAACATTCACTGTGGACAATCACAACAATTAATATCACTGAATAAATCTAGTGACATGGAGTTGCAGAGTTAGTATTTGGTGAGTGCCTCTGTACTGTAAAGAATTACCCCTTTTTGTTGTAGCATCGTTTGGTGTGGAGGCAAAGATAATCATTGTACATATGGTAGGTCATGTGTGTGTCAAGAGATACAAAGCTATAAATTTCACATTAGACAGATATCAGCTGTATTTTATTTAACACACTGGATATATCTACAGCACTATTAAGATTTCTTCAGAGGCTAGCTTTACAGCTCTTCTTGTTGCACATTCTCATCTCAGTGAGCATGCACAATAAGAAGAGCTGTTCTTGTAGAGGATATAATGTTGCAGTCTTCAGTGCTCTTGAGTTTCAGCTCTGTCTTGCCGTCCATCCAGGGGGTGTTGGGGGGCAGTGCCCCCCATCAACCCTCCCCTATGGTCAGGCATGCCTAATCACAGCAGCTTAGATTGATGAATATATTTTTTGATGTGGAATTGAGGACTCAGCCTAGTCTCTGGGGAGAGCGTCCATACTTTAAAGAATTATGAAAACATCAAAGTTGATGTGTTCTCTATTATAATCATACATAATATGAACTACTGAGATATACAAGCCTTCCACATCAGGCCTAGGGCTGCACTGCACACTAGTGGTGGTGTTGTGGTGTGTGTACTTTCTTCTGCACTGCAGCTGGAGTGCATTTGGGTACAAACAACATTGTAGGGTGCCTATTGTAGCTTGTTTTAGTTACAACAATACATGCAGTTCATGCAGAAAAATAAATGGGACAGCCAATAATGTTATGCAATGTTACCGGTAGTTCTTTCTTACAATCCATTTCTTCCCTTCAGCACCTTTTTGAAGGATTGCTTTTTCACAACATAAGATGGAGTAGCAAATGATTGGAAATATTTCTTTGTGAAAGATACGAGTTCAGTGCTGCCGTACGATTGTACATATGCCGCAAAAATAGCCAACAAGCACCATAAAGATAGCCAAACTATTTTGGATTATGGCACTGAATGTCTTGATGAGCATGCACAAGAGGAAGTGCCATAAATCTAGCCTCTAAGTGATCTTTACCATAAATATAGCCACTCTGTTTATATAGCCCTTCTCAAACCCAAGAGCTCAATTCCCCACTGGCTCCTCTGCACATGCGAGTCTAGACAGACTGTGTACACTTATCTACGCATGCACCATAATACATCATGTGTCGTCTGCACGTGTATACATCATATATTGCAGGATATTACATTGAAATTCTTACAGATAACATTATTAATATATTAATGTATGGGAGTATATATGAATCTATATTTATGCTGGTGTCGCATGAATATAGATTGCTGTAGGCCTATAAGAAGGTAAAACAAATATGACGCAAGAAATTGAGAACGTTTTATATACTGATTTATTCCTGTACAGTTATGCTCATTCACTGCGCAATAACATCATATCCCTAATAAAACAGTCCTTAATTCATCTTCCACATAACGGCATTGCCCTCTACTGTGCTTATGTTATTTATTCTTGCTAATATCTAATCACCAACACTATGAGAAACATAATTGTAATTATCCATAAAAGCTAAATTACATGCAAATCTGGTAAATTGTTCTGTTTGTGTATAATCAGTAATTATGAAATGACTGGAACTCATAGTTAAGGTTAACTCTGTCTGCTCTTCTAAAAGGCCATGATGGTCCACTGCCTACTAAAGTTCGCTGGAAACCGATACAGTTTATAATTATCCGCCCTTGCAACTCGACCATGATTATTGCATTACTAATATAGTTATTTGATAATGTTATCTGTAAGAATTTCAATGTAATATCCTGCAATATACGGTTTATATGCGTGGTCTTTATATTTTGGGTACCACTCAGTGCAGTGCAGACGACACATGATGTATTATGGCGCATGCGCAGATAAGTGTATATGGTCTGTCTACACTCGCATGTCTCCTCTGCTAGAAGGAATGAGGGGAAGGGGATGACAATCTCAATAACTAGACTTCCTACATATACGAATATCAGATTCATTCCACCTTGATCATTTCAAAATACCCCCAAAATTGCAAATCCTTCTGCTGAGTTCCCATCGCCCAAACATCTGTTTGGACTTTTTAAAATTACCTCCTGCTTAAGCGAGCTCTTCATGTCTGCACAAATAGATTGCAGTATCCTCCTGATTTATGGCACTTGCACAGCTGTCATTTCAAGTGTGCAGGGCATATATTTCAAGTGCTGTAAAATTTTCCCACCCGGCCTGGCCAACTATGGAGTCCCAATCTTACGATTTTTCGACAATCAGGCAATAAAATTAGGTGTTTAACAAGAGAATATGATTTTCTTTGAAAGTAACTGTAGGGCTTATATTAAATATTACATAAAATGACACAAAAACACTTAATAAATCGTGTATGGGAACATAATAACACTACATGAAAACATATGTCAATCTCACTCAATGGAACAGTAACCCAAACCTGTTCTTATTTCTCGGCTTATTCCAAATATGTCATTACTCCCACATAGTAAAACAGCAAGAAAAATACAAACTTACTCGGTGTATGTCAAAGAATGCGCTTGTCGTCTCCCGTGTAAGTGAATTTCGTTATTTTTTTTACGGAAATAAAAAACACCTTCCTCCCGTCCGCAATGCAGGTGAGCGGTTTTAAATCCGGCTTCCGTAGTGGATTTTATTTCTCGTTTTCATTCATGTTTTCCTATTTGATTTATTTTACCGATATAATTCAAATGATAAGAAATTAAAAATCAGTTGTTTGAACTATACCCTGTTTTTCTCTGGTCTTTTTATTGTTCGGTATGAATAAATTTATGCAAACGTTTATAATGTACTACATCAAGGTTGCAATGACATAAGGGTTTACTACAGTTCAATAAGCATTCGTGTTCATTCAGAAATATAATCTAATTCTCAAATGATCGTTTTATTCTCTAAAGTGGCCTGATAAATATTTAGAATATCCAGTGATTTAAACCGGACATATAAGTTAGATTTATCATTAACATTTTCATCATTTAAATAGATTTTTTTTTTTTCGTTTTTTTTTTTTTTTTTTTTTTTTTTTTTTTTTTTTTAACACCAAGGCAATCTGTTCCACATATTGCAATTCTACGAACCATAATTTTTGGTAATGAGATGCAGTGACTCATGCACTTACAGAGGAAAAAAAGTGTAATTTTCCACACCTGGTTCTATAAGTCACCTGCCGGCTTTCTTGGTACTGATAAACGTTTAAAAATGAATCAATATTACTGCCTGTATCATTGCAATCTTCAGTTAATTTCTAAATAATTTAGTTTATCAGATATCATTGTATGGATGTAGTTTTATTCGTAATATGAAATCAAATGAAATTGTAAACGTTTCGAAATTAATGTTATCAGGACAAGATATTACACGTGTCAGTTTCTCAATTAATTCTCTAAAAAGTGTGTTAAATATGATATTAATGTAATGGTGATTATGATAGCCATGACAATAGACGTGAAAATGATAGTGATTATTACAGTAATGATAACAATAATGCTAATGATAACGATGATGATGATTATGATGGTGATGATGATGATGATGATGGTGATGATGATGATGATGATGATGATGATGATGATGATGATGATGATGATGATGATGATGATGATAATGATAATGATAATAATGATGATGATGATAATAGTAATAGTAACAGTGATAATAATAACAATGATGATAATAATAATGATACTGATAATAATAATAATGATAATAATAATAATAATGATAATAGTAATAATAATGATAATAGCAATATTAATGATAATGATTCTAAAAATGATAATGATGATGTAATGACAATAACAGTAATAATGACAGTAATGATACCAAAGTGATAAAATATATTGATATTGATAATGATAATAATCGTGATATTATTGATAATGATGATAACGATGACGATAACAAAAAGGATAAATGAGAATAATGATAATGATAATAATGATCATGATACTTATATTTCTACCAATAATAACGATAATAATAATGATGATAAAGATAAGAACAATAATGAGAACATTAATGATAATGGTGATGATACTAATAATAATAATGATAATAATGATGATGATACTATTGATCATAATGAAAATGATAATAACAATAATACTGATGATGGTAATAATAACAACAAATAATAGTAATAATGAGGATAATGATAATAATGAAAACAATAATGATGATGACATTAATGATAATGATGATGATCATATAAATAATGATATAAGAAATAATGATTATCATAACAAAATGATAATGATGATAGTAATAGCAACAACAACAATAATAATGATGATAATAATAATAATAATAATGATAATAATAATAATAGTAATAGTAATCAAATGACAATAATATTAATACCGATAACAATAACAACACTGATAATAATGATAATGATAATAATAATGATAATTAATATAGTGATAATAATGATAATGATAGTAATAGAAATAATAGCCATAATGATATAAATAATAATGATAATAATAATAGTAATGATAATGATGATGATAAAAATAATAATGATAATAATATATAATAATAATAATAATATAATAATAATGATAATAGTAATAATAATAATAATGATAATAATAATAATATATAATAATAAGATAATATAATAATAATAATAATAAAACAAATAATAATAATGTATCATGATGATAATGATAATGAAAACAGTAATAACAATATCAGTAATAATAATGAGGAGGATAATAACAATCATGACAATCAAAATAGTAATGGTAGTAATAATAATAATGACAGTGAAGATGATAGTGATAATAATGACGATAATATCATTACTGATAGTAATAATTATAATGATCAGAATAATGATGATGATGATAATGATTGTAGCACTCACGATAATCATAATAATAATGATATTGTCAATAATGATACTAATAACGATTATCATTATTGTTATTATCACTTATTGTTATTATTATTATTATTATCATTATTATCACTATTCTTATTATTATTATCATTGTAATGATTATTACTATCGTTATTCTTATCATCATTGTTACTGCTATTATTATCATTATTATTATCATTATCATTGCTATTATCATCATTGTTATTGTTATCAGTATTGCCATGGGTATCGTTAGAATTATCAATATTGTTATTATAATATTATTATCATTATTATCATCATCATTACTGTTATCATTAATATTGTAATATGGTTAACATTATGGTTATTAATCATATCATTATCCTCATCTCTACTATTATCATTATCATAATCATTATAATAATAATAATGATAAAAGGGATGATGATAATAGCAACAGCAATAACAATGATAATAGCAATAATATAATAATAATGATAATGATAATAATAATGATGATAATAATAACAATGATGATAATAATAGCATATATAATAATAAGGATAACAATAATAGTAACAGTCGTTATCATTATTATTATTATTATCATTATTAGTATTATCATTATTATTATTATTACTGTTCCTATCATTTTCATAATCATAATCATCATTATAATTATTCTAATTAATCTTGTATTATCATATTTGTAATTATTATTCTTGTCATTATCAATGTTATTGTTGTTATTAAAGATATTTGCATCATTACCATGATTATCATTAATGTCATTAATTATCATCACTGTTTTTAATATTATCATTCTTTTTAATGTTATCATTCTCATTATCTATAAACACTATTATCATCATTATCATTATTATTTTCATTATTAGTCATGTCATTATCCCTTTTTAATTATTGTCATCATCAAATTCCTTGCTATTATCATTATGGTTATTGATATCATTATGATCACTATAATTATGATTTTCATCATTATCCTTATTATTATTATTATTATTATTATTTTCACTACCATTATTTTGATATTCTTATTCTTAATCATCATTACTATCATTACTATTATCCTCGCCATCATCACTATCATTATGATTATCATTACTATTGTTGTTGTTGTCATTATTATTGTTGCTATTTCTATATCATTATTTATTATTAATTATTATCATTATTATCATTATTCCTATTATTATCATCACTATTACTATCATTATTACTCTTATTATCATCTCTATTACTATCATTATTACTATTATTATCATCTCTATTACTATCATTATTACTATTATTATCATCTCTATTAATATCATATCATTATTAATAATTAATATTATCATTATTATATCAACTATCATTATCATTATTACTATTATCATCATCACTATTATTATCTTTACTATTATAACAACGACGATAATGATTATTAATATTTGATATTAAACCACCTGACTACGACGAAGTGGCTCCGCAATAGCTTAGGTTAACCCTCTTGGTTCGACACTTCACTCAAGAGGCGACGAGCGGCTGGCTACGCCCTAAAAATTTTGTTGATGCCTAAC